GTGCCTGGTTATATGTGTACATGCGGGACAATTAACCTGCTGGCCTTCCCGGTCTAGAATGGGGCTAGTCGCGGACAACTCAGCACTGAGCTAAGGTCTGCACACGCTCACTGGCCGGGCTGGGGAGACTACAAGCATAAAAGTGGCCACCCGCCCAAGTCTATAACTGGCTTATGAAGCAAGGACACATAAACAGGCATCACATAGTGAATAAAGGGGAGAGAACAATGTTCTTGGACAACCAGCCAGTTATAGACTTGGGCGGGTGGCCACTTTTATGCATGTTTGAGTTTTTGGTACGTGGGTGCACTAGGACCCTGGTTGCCATTGTGCTACATGCTGGGGTCCAGTGCACTCCTTTGCCTTTAAGAGGGGTGGCTCCCTCAGGTCCACCTGCCCTTGATCTATCCATTAAATGCATGTGCCTCTACTATGGGGACTCACAAATTTTTAGAGTTAGGACCACAGATTACTAGGGTGCCGTGTCGTGGCTCTGTGGCTTACGTATGTATTTGCAAATGTGTGCTAACTAAACCCCTGTTATAAACGCATACTGTTAGACAGGTTAATTCGGTTGTTAGCAAGCTGGCTGGCAAGTTGTCCAAGAACATTGTTCTCTCCCCTTTATTCACTGGGGAGACTACAAGCATCTATATTATCCCGCCTGTCACACAGCAAGACAGTTAAATGAAGATCTCCACCGAAAGGAGAGGAAAAACTAAAAAGAGAGGGAAAAGTAACAAAAGAAAAACCGAGCTGCCTATTGCAGAGTGGGGGTTTACTACCAGTTAGGACTGCCCATAGGTGGTTCTGTTCTTTTTTTCTGCCTAGTCCTATTCCTGAAGGTGGCGATATAACCCTTCGGTCAAGATTATGAAGGCTGTGTCCATCAATGAATGAAAGAGAAATAGGGTTTACTGACACTAACTATAGATGATTAGATTTCAGCAACAAACATATTCACAGGTTTCAAAACCATTGTGATTGATTATGGATATTGCGCTTTTTCTCAACAACAATAATGATCCTTTTACTGTACTTTCAAAACAAAACAATAGTTTAAGTAAAAGATAGCAGGGAGGTTTCCATAAGACATTAGACAGTGAAAAAGAGCAGCAGTCCTCTCATCTCTCATAGAAAGTGCTCAGAGACCCGTCCATCTGTGGCCAAGCCTTCTCATTGTTCCGTGTTTTCTCTGTGTTATGTGAGCAATTTCCAGGGATCATTTCATGCATGCGAGATGACTCCACTCCCTAGAAATCTGTCAATCCTTACAATGTGCTTGCTCTGATTTCCCAAATACTGGCAAGCTTTTTCTTCTCCATGACTCTTCTAACTGTTGTTCATTTATCTTTAACCCTTTCTTATGATTACAGATGTTTATGTTATTGTTATCAAAATGTTAGTAAAGTTTCTACAACCCAAATGATAATATATTATATGTGTAACTTCTGACAAACATATCTCTAAAGCTTTAAAGTAAACTAAGCCAGCATGTTTAAGAGCAATACCATGATATAATTTATATTTCTGAAATATTCAGTGGTAACAATCACCACAGGGTAAAAGTAGTTACCCAGTTCTCAACTACCCTTTGTTTAAGCTCTACTCCTTTTCCTTTTCTCGTTCCTCCACAAATGACCTTTTTTTTAGGTCTAATGTATGAACAAATATAATATAACAGCAATAATGATCAATATAGATATTTGTTCTCCAGGATAAGCAAAAAAAAAAAAAAATCACCCATCAGTACACTCATTTACACAAAACACTAAACAGTTAATATAATTTTGGAAATCCTTATCATTTAGGAGAAAAGTCTAATTGAATTTTCATGACCTCATCTCTGTAATTCAATAGATAACAGCATCTGCTCTGCCAAGGTGGAGGTGTAACAGCAGGGATTACATCATGTCCTCGACTCGCTCTCTGCAGTAAAAGGAAACTACAGTTCCCATCAAACACAGGGATTTGTAGTGAATGTGGGCGAGTACACTAGGCCTGTACATGAAGACTGAATCTGAGAGTCTTGATCCACCCACCACTGCAAGTAGGGCTGAATTACATACATCACTGCTTCCTGGAGAAAGAACTACAGAAGCAATGTACCAAGACCAGTGGCTGGGGGAATAGGAGGCATTGCAGCCACTGGTCTTACAAACCAAAGAGAATTACCGGTTTAATTTGATGAATAAGCTATTTCAGAACAACTACTGAGTGAACCAGAAGATGGATGACATATTCAGTGAAGGTAGGAAATCAGCAATGGGGACATGTAAAGAAGTTATTGCCTGGAGTTCTGCTTTAAGAACTTGTGATCTAGGAAGGACTATTAGTGCCTCTAACTGCTCAGCAATTTAATGTCTCCATGTGATCGTTCATTAAAACTTTTGGACCCATATTGGTGATTCTCGGTGTGCTGATGACATTCTCCCTAGTTTGTAGGTGTAGTCACACAGATCCATCCATGCTTTTGATTCCGGAGAGTGTCACATTGGAGGAAATGCTAAAAACAGAGCTAAGGAGACCCTGATGTCAGACAATTCATTACTGGTGACAGCGGTCTTTTACATGTATGTTATTAAATTTAATGGTACTTGCTACTGGAAACCTCCTCTTCTCTCCTTACCTTACCTTCATGGAGTCTGCATAAAGAAATACGGTTTCTTCTCTGTGATTTTTCTTACGGCACAGTGGCCCTTTGAAAGGAAGTCTGGCATTTACATTATATTCTGTATGATGACACCTAGAGATACTTCTTCACTTTGGGAGGTCTAACTATCTGGTCACTCAAACTATTTTCAATATAAATGAAGGTCATGCTGCTGGTTGTATAGGGTATATAAATATGCATCAAAATGTATTTCAAGTAACATATCATTAAAGAAAAATTAAATCCAAGAGCAAACATTTATTATATTGCAGCTTACCAATTTTTAGATGTGATGTCTTCTTCACTTTTATTTTTTAGGCTCTCTTTTTTTTCATTGTCACCTGGTGATCTGACCAGTAGTTCTGTTGTTTTTCAACAGAAGAAGCTCTCCTACAAATGTATCAGTTAAGAATGTTGAGTCAAACCATTTACAACTTACAAGGGTGCTTGCAGTTGTCAGCGGTTACCTATGTAGAACCTTTATCCCTAAATGAAAAAAAAACTGTTGTAACTGTGAACTGGAGTTTGGCTTCAATTTGTTAATGTATCTAAATTTGCTAGTACATCTAACAATTCACTCCCCCTAGACTGGCAATGCTGTTGTCCAAAGGTGCCAATTGTGCTCCTCCATCCAGAGTTGTGTCTCACTAATACTGGAGGTGTGTTCCTGGCCAGATCACAGGTGAAAACAGAGGGAAAGAAGCCTAAAAAAGAAAACTAATACAGCCGCTAAATATAATGATTGGTAAGCTGCAATATATTACATTTTTGGTTTTGGGTTAAATACCGCTTTAAGAAGATAGAAATAAACATACTCAGGAGCTTTTATATTGAAACTGAAATTCCATTGAAATAATGGAATCCCTTAATCCAGCCTTCCTTCTTGGTTTGTGCAACAAGTTCAGTGCTTGCACAGAGGAGAAGGCAGTGCGATGTGGCAATGCAGAATCAGTTCCCTGTATCCTCTCCCACTTTGTAATGGCAGCAAAGTGCATGATCTGCAGCAATATGGGGGGATGCTATCATTAAACGTGATACAATCAGTGACAGTCTTTCCCATATTTGAAATGTAGCAGGCACTGTAAGCGCTTGGCTAACATATTTACAGCACTTTACAGTGCTAGGCACCCTAATATACTGTATACCGTAGTGGAGTACATGGCTTAACACAGTACAGAATCTTTACGCTGTCTACTGTAAGGACATCGAAAGGGGGACAGCTTGCATACACCTGTACCCTATCTTCCGGTGTTACAATTCAAATAAAATCATTGAAAAAAATTGTAACATTTCTAAGACAATGGATTGAATATATTTGTAATATTAATTACCAGCCGGGCAAACAATTTGCAGCTTTTTGCAGAAACTACAGCATTAAAGTGTTACTAAACCCACAACAGTAAAATCAGTGTATATACACAATAAGTAATGCTTGATATACTCACTGTGGAACTTATGGGGTTATTCTTCTGCATTGTGTAAAAATGCAGTTTGATTCTCACTTCTCTGATCCTCCCCTTCTTCCAGTGTCCTCTTCTTATCTCCTGATAAGACATATCGTGTGGAGACACTCTGCACATGCTCAGTTTGGTGTGCATTGCTAGAGAAGTTGTGTTTCTTGGGAGAGTGCATGTGATCAGCACAGGGCCAATCAGCACTGTCCAGATAGAGTTCAGGGGTTCTGCATCCTCCTACAGGAGAATGAAAACTCCTTCTACAAGCTGTAACCAGTGCTCTGCTGAACACTAATAGAAATCACAAGACTGCTCTAACTGCTGATGAGAAAAGGTATTTAGTAGTTTATATTTACTAAAATAATTGCACTTCCATGTTCTGTGTACTGTAGGAGACCAGATATAGTGAATGCAGGGTCCTGGGTTTAGTAACACTTTAACCACTTGCCCTCCACCCTATAGCAGAAGTACTGCTACAGGGCGGCAGGGCTGCGCAAAATCACGTATATATACGTGATTTGCATTCCTGGGTGAGAGGGGTGCGCACGCCTCCCTACCCATGCTGCTATTGGCGGCAAGAGATGTCAATCACCGGGTCCCAGCCGGCACACAGTGATCATCGGGGAAAGGTAAACAACACAGGTGTCTCTCCTGCGCAGCAGAGAGATACAAAACAGCATGTCTTCCTACTAAAACACAGCACACAGTAAAACACACAGCACACAGGTAACCCTTTGATTGCCCCAGATGTTAACCCTTTGCTGCCAAGTGTCAGTACATTGTTATTAGCACTGATCACTGTATTAGTGTCACTGGGGATGTCAGCGTCAGTCAATTTCCACCCAGAGTCAGAATGCCCACCGCAGTCCCACTATATGTTGCTGATCGCTGCCATTACAAGTATAAAAAAAAAATAAAACAAATTGGCAGTATATATATCGCCATTTGTAGACGCTGTAACTTTCACGTAAACCAATTAATTTACATGTATTGGGATTTCTTTTTAGCAGACATGTAACAGAATACATTTTGGCCTAAATTTATTAACAAATTGGATTTTTTTATTGGATATGCCTTATAGCAAAAAGTCAAAAATATTGTTTTTTTTTCAAAATTGTTGGTCATTTTTTGTTTATAGCGCAAAAAATAAAAAACACAGAGGTGATCAAAGACCTCCGAAAGAAAGCACTATTTGTGGGCAAAAAACAACATACATTTCATTTATGTACAGCGTTGCATGGCTGCGCAATTGTCAATTAAACTAAAGCAGCGCAAAAAAAATGGCCTGGTCAGGAAAGGAGATAAATGCTCTGGAGGGCAAGTGGTTAACAGGGGCAGATTGACAACTCATGGGCCCCCGGGCAATAGAAACTCATGGGGCTCCTGTATCCTTGCCCACACTCAAACCACACACAGAAAAGCCTATGAAAGGTACCAGGGACATCTCATGGGGCCCCCTACTGACCCCGGGCCCTCTGGCAGTGCCCAAGTTCTCGAAAGGTCAGTCCGCCCCTGGTGGTTAAGCATCATTTTATATTCAACTAGTTTTTTTATTGAAGTTTTGCAGATAACATGGTAGAAGAAAACAGGGACAACAATAGGTTCACAGATGTACATTTGTATATAGTTATGAGAATAAACCTGGTAGAAATACATTGTTTTAAAATCAGTATGTGGGAGGGATAAGATTGGATACCGGTTTTATAGAGACTAGTACAAAAGGAACCTTAGGGAGGGAGGGGTAGAGGGGGGGGGGGGGGGGATAGTCGGGGGAGGGGTGGCCTAAATGTATGAAGAAATTAGATTTTTTTTATTGGATATGTTTTATAGCAAAAAGTCAAAAATATTATTTGTTTTTTCAAAATTGTCCGTCTTTTTTTGTTTATAAATTTTAGAGACTAATAAAAAGGGAACTTTAGGGAGGTAGAGGGGAGAGAGGGGTAAAGGGGTAGAGGGGGAGGGGAGGAGGTGTCCTAAATTTATGAAGAAATTAGATTTTTTTTATTGGATATGTTTTATAGCAAAAAGTTTGTTTTTTTCAAAATTGTCAGCCTTTTTTTGTTTATAGCGCAAAAATAAAAAACGCAGAGGTGAACAAATACCGCCGAAAGAAAGCACTATTTGTAGGGGAAAAAGGACATAAATTTCATTTATGCATAGCGCTGCATGAACCTTAGGGGGGAGGGAGGGTTAGAGGGGTGGAGAGAGGGAGGGGTGGAGGGAGGGGTAAAGGGAGGGTTAAAGGTAGGGAGGGTTGGGAGGGTTAAAGGTAGGGAGGGTTGGAAGGGTTAAAGGGAGGGAGGGTTAAAGGGAGGGAGGGTTAAAGGGAGGGAGGGGTAGAGGGTAGGGAGGGGTAGAGGGTAGGGAGGGAGGGGTAGAGGGTAGGGAGGGTTGGGAGGGGTAGAGGTAGGGAGGGGTAGAGGTAGGGAGGGTTGGGGAGGGGTAGAGGTAGGGAGGGTTGGGAGGGGTAGAGGTAGGGAGGGTTGGGAGGGGTAGAGGGAGGGAGGGTTGGGAGGGGTAGAGGAAGGGAGGGGTAGAGGAAGGGAGGGGTAGAGGAAGGGAGGGTTGGGAGGGGTAGAGGAAGGGAGGGTTGGGAGGGGTAGAGGAAGGGAGGGGTAGAGGAAGGGAGGGTTGGGAGGGGTAGAGGAAGTGAGGGTTGGGAGGGGGTAGGGGGGGAGGGGGTACGGGTGGGTGGGTAGAGTAGGATGGGAAGGATGGGGAGAGGGTAAGGGGAACAAGTAAATGTGGTAATAAAGAGGAAATTAACAATACTAGTCATAGGGGGAAAAAGATAGTATGTAGCATGGAAATTATTATGCTCCAAACCAGGGGCGGACTGACCATTTAGCCACTCGGCACTGCCTGAGGGCCCGGGGTCAGTAGGGGGCCCCATGAGATGCCCCTGGTACCTTTCATATGCTTTTTTGGGTGTGGTTTGAGTGTGGGCAAGGACACAGGGGCCCCATAATTTCCAATTGCCCGGGGGCCCCATGAGTTGTCAGTCCGCCCCTGATCCAAACAGTGAAAAGCATCATTTTAAATAAAAAAAACAACAAAACAACAAAAAAAAAAACATGGTCTTAACCTGAATTCCAGGCAAATGGCTAAATTAACCTTGGTTTTCCTTTGCTTACAACATAAATTGATGCAGTTTGGTTGCTATGGGCAATACAAACATTTTCAAGTCATATAGTATCCATTTTTGCTGATGGCGACAATTCTGTCTGTCGGTCTGCATACATACGGGAAATGTGTCCACTGCTCATGAAATACTGCTGGTCTTTATATTTGTAACTATCAGGAATGACCAGAAGGGTGTATAAAATGGGACTACGTGTGGAACAAGGGCATGTGCTTTGCCTTAACATTTCGGCAAAGGGCGCCCCTCCTCCATGCCTCACAAAGCTGGAAGATATAGAATGATGTACAAATGGTGTAATAGGAAGGATGTCACATTTTGCTGACAATGACTGCATGGACATAAAATCGGGCCTCCAGAACTGGGACCCAATATACATGCAACAATTAAAAAAAACAAACCACAGAGCAAAGCACTGTGAAATAGACATGAGATTCTCCTCCAATGTACACAATGCTTGGCTGCCTGCCCTGTTTGGTAGTCAAAGGGTTTATCTGTGTGCAAACAACACTACTCTTCTCTCATTCTCCTGCTGTCTCTTCCCATTTGCCCTCTTGCTGACTGATACACTGATCTCTCGGTCACTCTGCTTTCTGCTTCACTGAGTCCATATTACTAATAACACCTCCGACACGGCCAGTTTACCTCATGAAAGCAGGAGCACATCATTACAAAATAAACTCATAACTTTGACACTCTAGCAAATACATGTCGTTTGTTATTTTTATGACTCCAAGATTTTTTTTTTCAACAGCCAGAGAGGGCATTACCTACCACTTCCGACCTTCCCTCTACTTCCATTTATTTTTCACACATGAAAAAAGAGAAGAAAACGCCACCAGCTAGAAGCACATGCAGAGATCATGGCATGGGATGGAGCCTGTGAAGGTCGTTCCAAGTGAAATGAAGAGGTATCGCCACTGACCTCATACAGCAGTGTTAATATTCATGGGATTTTACATACACAGTCATCCCACAGCAGATTTTTCTTTTTTTTTTTTTTTGGAAAAAAAAACAAAACAAAATAGAAGTATGCATTTTATCTTCCAGACATTGACATGGTTAGATATTTCAGGAATTATGTATGTTGCTACATTAGGAGGAAATGCCCTAAACCAGGGGTGTCAGACTCCATTTCATCGCAGGCCGTATCAGCATTATGGTTGCTCTCAAAAGGCCGGTTGTATCTGTAAGAATAGATGTCCAGAGCACCCCACCCTCCATTATATCAGATGTCATGAATCCCACACCCTCCCTAACATCACCGTGCACCCCCTTTGGGGGCAGAGCTGGAACGCAGAAAGTGCAGAGTCTGGAGGAGGGCCAGAGGAGGAGTGGAGTCAGTTACCAGAGTCTGTTGAATGCTGAGACCAGGGGCGGCAGAGATGAGGGGGTGCTGCAGCTTCACTGAGAGGTGCAGGATTTGGTGCCAACTGCTAAGACAAGGTGGAGGGGGGTACCTGCAGGAGAGGTGCAAGGGCCACATGAAATAGCCAGATTCGGCCCGAGGGCCTTGTGTTTGACACCTGTGCCCTAAACCTTTGAGAATGACAACATATGCAAACATGGATGGAACAACTGATGTTTGGGCTTATTTATAAACGAAAACCTTTTTTCAAGAGAATAACTGATGCCGCCATCGTTGACTACTTATTCTGTAAATGCTGAATGCATTGCTGTCACTGACCTGGAACAAGTATGTAGATAAGGAGTCCGTCCTGACATTACTATGACTTTACTGCCATGCATACTTTGTTCTATGTCAAATGCTGATATATGCCACAACATACCTCCTAGATACAATGGGGTTAAGTGCAAAATCTGGTGCAGCTGTGCATGGTAACCAATCAGCTTCTAACTTCAAGCAGAACTTCACTCTCTCAAACAACATGGTCTATTGCTAATCCTTATGCAGACCATAGACAGGGAGAAAACCGGCCGTTTTATTAACAAAAAAAATAAAAATCGGTCGTTCAATAGGCCGACATTACCACCAACAGTGAAAAAAAAAAATCGGCCGATTTTCTTCCCGTCTATGGCTGGCATTTAATTACTTCTGTCCCTGCAGAGAGCTCCGCTATTATATTTGACATTAAGAAGTATTGCGGTTGCAACATTGTATCTATTTGTATCCATTTCAGATACAGATTTTTTTTTTTCCCGGATACAAATAGATACATTGTTGCAACTGCAATACTTTTTAATGTCAAATATAATAGCAGACTGGAATTCTTCTTTTTCTTCTTCTTTCTCTTCTTCTTCTTCTTCTCTTTCTCTTCTTCTTCCTCCTCTTTCTCTTCTTCTTCCTCCTCTTTCTCTTCTTCTTCCTCCTCTTTCTCTTCTTTTTCCTCTCTCTTCTTCCTCTTTTTCTTCCAGGTCACGGCTTATGCGCAGATTTTTTATCGGTAAAAAGATCAGCGGATTTGTCCATCAGTGCCGCAAAAATCGGCCGATTTTTTTCCAACTTTACCGATCAAAAAAATCTGACAAAATCCAGGAAAACGGCCAACCAATTAACCCATTAACGGTGCGAAAATCAGCTGATTTTGTATTTGGCAAAAAAAATCGCCGATTTTCGACCCATCTATGGCCTGCATTAGGCTACGTTCACACTAGCTTTGTATGCAGGCATTAGACAGGCGTTTGGGAAGCATTTTTAACGCTCCTCAAATGCCTATGAAAATTCGACACATGGCAGCACACAGTGCTGTTCACACTGGAGCGTTAGCATAGCGTCAACATTGACTCCTCATGTCCAGTCAGGAGGAGTTGAAGCCTCCCATTCAAGTCTATGCTGATGCTACTCAAGTGCCTGGCAGGCGTTTGCAGAGCGTTAATACCAATAAACTGTAGTTTTAACGCTTGGAAAATGCCTATCAAATGCCTCAAAAACGT